GATGAATTGAGAGCTGCACCAATTGACTCTGACTATATAACTGCTAGCGAATGTATCTCTGCTGATACTTGATCGGTTACCTGCTGTTTCTAATTGAGAATGGATAACTTGACCTTTGGGTAAAGGTTGTTCAGGGTTGCAGAAAGAAGCATGACAACGCAACGTTGTTCTAATTTTCAGTCGGTATGAGCAGACAGCTACCGTCGAATAGCGAATGCAAACAAAATTTGTTTACCTCTAATTCAAGGGAAACGGTATGCTCCTCCAGAATAGCGAATATGTGGTCCATCAGATTTGCTTGTCCTGCAGCTTTCATAAGTTCTTTCATCTGTTCACATATTAAATCGCTCGATGGACGACTGTCGGAGCTCTCTCTCCAGCAGCTCCGCACTAATGTGACCTAAAAGGGCAAAAAAGAACTTGGCAATTTGGTTGGATTCATCTTGTAGCAGCAAGCATCTATCAGTGTCCGACTCACCAGTTCTGCCGGGACATCGAGCATGTCAAGCTGAAGCGTTGGACGCATTGGCGAATTACCACCCTTCTTGATTCTGATAAGTATATCTAAATTAGGTTTGATTCAAAAGTGGATTGAAGACGTGAAAGAATAATGAGAATCTAAGTTTCGAGCAGCCTTTCAATTACGTACACAATCATAACAAGCGGATTGAACATTCAAGTTTACAAGTCCTATGCATTAAGAAGCTCCTTCATTTAACCCTGCAGTATCAGGGTTCAGAGACGTCAAACTTCATCACTGAGTGGCGAATTCAAAAAAAAATTGTCTTTCGTATTAGCTGGCGTATATCGGGATCAAGGGTGTTAGGAAAGTCTTCACCTAGCGAATACAATCGCTCAAAGATCATATACCGCTCGAGTTTTCCCAGCTGTAATTGTTAAAAATATCGTCAGAGTTATGTGAAGAACAAAACATTTCTCCTTCTGTCCGATTTCCGCCAATTTCTGTAGCTGATGACTTATTCAATTAACAACTGTCATGTCTTAGAACAACGCTCGTTAGAGTATTCCTTAAGCACTCGATGATAGCAGATACAGTTCATCTCCCATATTTACATTTAGGGAAATTGCTACATTGGCTGACAGTGATATTGACTGACAGTTTGGTTTACGGTCGTTAAAGGGGAGCA